CAGGCGCTTGCCCTCGAGCTGCAGCGGCTCCAGCTCGGCCTCTGACACCTTTTCCGAGGGCGACTCCAGCTGCGCTGCGAATAGGGAAGACACCAGTTACGGAGCGCCCGCATCTCCGGCCGCCCCCCAGCCTCGGCACCGCCATTTGCTGCCGTGGGGCACCAGAAGGGCCCTTGAGGGCACAGGGGTCAGCTCAGCCGCCAGGGGGCGCCGGCTGTGGGGGTACGGGGTGAAAAAGTGGGATTTGGGGGCAGGAAAGCAAGGGGTTTCTTGAGGGCAAATGGGATTTTGAGGGGATAGACATGTTGGAGGAAAAGCGGGATTTGGGGTGGACAACCAGGAATTTTGGAGGAAAAGTGGCATTTGGGGGCAAGAACCAAGGAATTTTGGAGGAATAATGGGATTTGGGAGGGGGGGCAACCAAGCAATTTTGGAGGAAAAATGGGGTTTGGGCACCGAGAACTAAAGAATTTTGGAGACAAAGTGGGATTTTGGCAGTGAACATGGAAGATCTTTGGAAAGCAGGTAGGATTTGCAGAGTAAAACCAATAATTTTGTTTTTTTTGGGGGGGGAGCGAGGTTTTTGGTGAAAAAACAAGGGAAAGAAGCAGGATTTTGGATAGATAACCAAAGGATTTGGGGAAAAAAAAGAGAATTTTTGAGGTAAAAGTAAGCAATTGAGAGGGGGAAGCAGGGCTTTGGGTAAAAAATGAAAGATTGAGGTGAATTCAGGATTTGGGGGAAAAAACAGGCAGTGCTGCAGCCCCCCTCAGCGGGCAGCGCGGTCCCGGTTGGGGTCGCCGGCCAATCGCAGCGCCGCTCGCGCTCCGGCGGGAAGGCGTCGAGGGAGGGCGCCGCCGACCGTTAGTCACAAAATGGCGCCGCGACCGTTACTGGCAATATGGCGCCGCCCTGTCTTTTTCCCGCCCGTGCCCCGGGGCTCTTTGCTGAAGGTATCAGAGCGCCGCCTTTGAGGGCTGCTCAGGGGAAAAAACCTTCTTTTGAGAAGAAGGGCTGCTCGGGGGCTCGCTTGGGAGCCATCTTATCTCACTGCGTTGGACCCTGAATCCTGTCACTGGGAGGCTTAAGTACTGCTGGCAAGAGAGAAATACCTGGGGTGCGGGCAAGAAGGTCTTCCCAGCATGGTGGCACTGTCTTGCCTTGCACTCGCTCAGACAGAGCCGCTCAAGGTTTTGTTTTGGGGCTTTGAAAAACTGCCATGGCCTCGTGCGTGAGGAATGGTGTTTTCCCACTTTCCTGACGCCTGTTGGATGGAAGGAGGCGCACCCAAGCACTGAGCAAAAAGAGGTGGATTGATGGTGGGTATTCTGGAAACCAGCCTTCGTGCGAAGCAATGCTGCCCACTTGGAGAGTTGGGAACGCGCTTGATCGTTTCATAAAGCCTCCATTGTAGCAACATCTGCGTCAGTCGCTCCGCACACAGGAACAACAATTATAATAATCCCAGCCCGATCGCCTGGAGATATGAGCCGCTTCTAAAAAACAACCAAAGCGGGTGGAAATTTTGAGAGCTGGAGACGAACAGGAGCCTAAAAGACTCATAATCTACAAACTTTTCTGTGGCCAGTTAACTGCAGCGGCATCCTCTGGTATTTTTGGTGGCTTTGCAGAGGGGTTTTCATGCGTTTCGACACATGGTCCTTGGTCTTTGCTGCATGTGGATGCAAACCGAGGAGGAAAGCGGCTGCTTATGGGTCTGGGCCAGAGGCTGGGGAGGTTGGTGGCAGCCTTTCCACTGACCTCGGGTGGCTTTCACTGAGGCCACAAATACCAGAGCAAACAGCGAAACCTATAATTTTGCATCAAAGCGCTATCATGTGCTTGTAAAAATAGCAGAAAAGTAGAGAAGATGTTTCCTCCCCGCCCCCTGCAATCCTTTGGGATTATAACGATCGGAGCTGTCACGGGGAAAGCTTGGGTCCTTTGGGAGCTGAAGGATATGGGATGCATCGTAAAGTTATAGATTGAGGTGAGGGGCTTTAGTTTATGCTTAGCGGTCTTGCCTTCCCTGGCGCTTCCTTGTTTTTTATGTCATTTTTTTAATTTTTTTTTTTTTTACACGGGGGTCAGCAGAGAAACTGAGAAGGAAATTGCAGCCCAACTGGGCAGATGCTCCGATTGCGAAGGAGCCGGCGATCGGGATAACGCTAACGCTGGAAATTGCTTTGCAGCCGGCTGAGCCGGGGAAGTCGAGTGAAAGCAACGGAGCCGGCGCGCGGCTAAATTAAAAAATTCCAGAGCGCTGATCTCAGAGGGGCTTCGCCTCGCGCCCGAGCGGCTGATCCGCAGGTGAGGCGCAATCCCGCCTTCTCGGCCGCTGCGGAATCACTGCCGTGGGCACTGCGGCCTCTCCCTCCTCGCCCGTGGCCTTGGCTGCCCTTAAACAGTTCCCGATAGGAGACCTGGCCATAGCAGCAAAGCCTCCCGTCCTCGCTGCGCACAAAAGAGGCCTTTTATTCGTGTAACTTTTACCAGGGTGCCCAAAGGTGTGGAATCTACACTGCAAAACAACCGCCAACACCCACCTGTCCCGTGTTACCCTCTCTCTGTATCCCTGTGTTTGTGTTTTTAGGCAGAATCCCGGGCTAAAAATACATTATCTCTCACTCTTTTGTGGGCAAAAGGTTTAGGATGGATCCTTTTCTTTAGCTGTCCAAAAGTAAAGAGTCAAATTAACTAAAATAACTTGGCACCTACAGGCCTGCATTTCCATGTCCTTTCCCGGGCCCATTCTCAGGAGGTTTTTTCCGAGGGCTGGAGTCTGCAGGCAGGGAAAGGGCTGGAGGGCAAAGACAACAACCTGTTGGCATTCCCATAAGAAAGGGGCTGCGGAAATGCCTCATTATCCCGATTTAGCACCACACACACGGGGTCGGTGTCTCCATGCCGGAGCCTCCTCTTCCTCCTGCCACCTCCTATAAACAGGGCATCCTGCTCTGTTCCGGCAGCAGCCGCCTTTTCCGGCGCTTGCCGGCACTGAGGGATGGAAGGGGACGCGGAACATGTTATTACACCGAATTACAGTGAAAAAAGGGAGAGAGGGCCGTATTTCCAGTGCTGCTAATGCATCTGCTCTCCCTCCCCAGGAAGCAGCGGGCCAAAGCTGGAGGAGCGGGATTCAGCCTGCCCGCGCAAGGAAGTAGGTGCTAAGTGGGTGTCGAACCAGCTCCGGGAGGGGAAAACTCCCTCTTGGATCCCTGCTGGCGCCATCCCGGAGGTGCCGGTGGGGAGGTGCCCCCCCCAACACCGGGGGCAGTTTCCCACCT